AAAAAAAAAAAAAAGATTAGTAGACAATATAAAAAGGTATTTCTCCCCCATACACATGCATTCCAGAAGTATTGTGCCCAAGACTGGCATACCATATTGTCAGATAGCTGTTGTTGCTCAAGCCCACTTTACCCAAATTACAAGCAGAAGTGATAAACCCTTTCTCCAAAGTGGTACGTACAGATTGTTTCAACTTTCATGCATTGTTAGAAACTAATTACTTGGCCACATCTAGCTGCAAATGAAACGAGGAAATCTTGAAAATGAATTGTGAATTAGATTGCCAAGTGTCCTGTAACACAGGGCATTCATTTGCTAAGAACGTAAAACTAGTTATTAAAACAATCCTCTTCATAAATCTGAATTTATCTTGCCTTTATGATAAAAGAAACGAACCCTCAAGCACACCTTTCGTGCATCTAAAGGTGATCTCTTTAGTCAATAATATATATTTAAGGCCTCAGTGTTCTTTATAGAAAGCCTTTTTAAAAATTAGTAAAATCTAATAATTACATAGGTTCTGCTCACATAGATCTTGTTAGCTGAGTGGAGTAAGATACTGCCCCCATGGAGGCCTTAACAAGAACAGTCTCTACAATGAATGTCATGATCGGCAGGTGTGAGGAAGGGACTTTGGTGAGGTAGTGGGTTCTCCGTTGGGCTGCTAATCTCAAGATCAGTAGTTTGAACTGATGCGCCCTTTCTCCTCAGGAGGCAGATGAGGCTTTCTACCAGTCTCAGAATCCCACAATAGGGGATCCCAGAGTGGGAATCGACTCTGTAGAAATGAGTTTTGGAGAAGTGAGCATGTCCTCTTCACCTGCTTCCTTTGCCTTTCTCATTTTGGGCTTTGGAAGAGATGATGGTTAAAGAGGCAAACGGGAGCAAATCTCTTCTGCTCCCATTATTGATTTCCAGTCAAATTGCATTTCTAAAGCACTTTGGAGCAATGAAAAAATTTCCCTATTCTCTTAGCGCTAAAGTATGCAAGATTTTCTAAGAATTTTGATCTCTCATAAAGCTAAAAGCTTCTCTCCCTCCACCACCTCCCTACCTGTTAAAATAAAAATCTTCATTTATTTTAGATGGCTTCATGGGTTAAAGCACTAAGCTAAAAACTGAAAGGTTGGCAGTTTAAACCACTCTCCATAGCCTATTTAAAGTCTGTTTTTGTAAAGATCCGTTCTAATCTGTCCTAGTCTTTCTGAATCAAAATTGACAGCATTGGGTTTTTCTGCTTTGTTTCAAATCAGTTTTCTACACCACTTATCAGTCCGACTACGGGGCCTTGCATGTTGATATGCTGCTGGCATGTCACCAGTATTTCCAGTACCAGGGCCTGGTGAAATTGGTGATCTTAACCCACCAGCTGCGTTACAGGAAATGCTGGTTTACAGGGTACTGTGAGTTGGAATCATAACTGGATGGCACTGAAAAAAGGAACTCCTTCATTGTGCTCATGTGGAACCAGCACATGGCTCGAGAGGTCAGCGGACAGAAAAAGGGACTACTGCATGGTTTAAAATTAAGAAGTTGTCAGGGTTTGTCACCATACTTCTTCAGTCTGTATGCTAAGCAAGAAATTTAAGAAGGAAAAATGAAGCCTCAGGACTGGAGGACGGCTTAACCACCTGCATTATGCAATGACATAGCCCTCACTGTTCACAAAGAGGTCTTGAAACACTTGCTGGTGAAGATCGTGAATGCAATGCAAGGAAAACCCAAACGCTCACAACTGGGTCAACAGACAATAGCATGACAGAGAAATGATCGAAGTTGTCAAGGATTTCATCTTGCTCGGATCTGCCATAATGCTCATGGATGCAGCAGTGAAGAGATCAAAAGACACTGCATGGGGTTTACCTGCTGCACAAAGCCTAAGTGAAGAGCCAGGATTTCACTTTGAGGTCTTTCAATTGCCTCATACATCAAAGTTGCACATTGAGTAAGGAAGACAAAAGAATTGACATTTAAATTATGGTGTCAAGAATACTGAAAAGTAGAAAGGATAGCTCAAGAACAAACAGATGTGTTTTGGAGAAGGTACAGGCAGAATGTTCCTTAGAATCAAGGATAGACATGTTACCAGGAGAAACCAGTCCCTGAAATAACGCATCATGCTTGGTAGAGGGACAGTAAAAAAGAGGACACCTCTCCATTACATACACTGACACAGTGGCTGTGTGTTGGGTTCAAATACAATCGGGGGTGGTGCAGCACCAAGCAGGGCTGTTCTGTTGTACGCATGGTTGCTATGATTTGGAACCAACTTGACAGTGCCCAATGGAATCGGATTTGACTGTATGGCAGTAAGGTTCTTCTCTAACACCAACAGGGCCACCATGGTAGGAAAATTTCAGTCCGGGCTAAAGCAGAAGAAATGTTCAATACTAAGTGCTGGGATGGAAATGTTAAGATCCCAGAGGTGGAGGACAATTTGAAGCTACCTAAGTTGAACAGCCTTGGAATGAAATGAAAAAGGATCAATGAGAACGTCGGGTCTTTTCATAAGGGGCTGGTGGTGGAGTTCCTTCAGCCTATTGCCATGTCTATAGCAGCTGAGAGAGTCTCAACTAAAGAACAAAATGGGTCAGTCTTCTCTGTTTATGAAGTAGAAGCAGTGGCTTCCCAAGTTGTGATACAAACCAAGGTGCTGAAAAGAAAAAACCAAGCTCACTACTAGTATCAAAGTTGATTGACTCACCCTGACTCTAGAGTAGAAAGCCTCCTCTTTCTCCCAAGGAGTTCTAGTGGTTTTTAAACTGACTTTGTGGTTAGCCACCAATTTATACCTTTACCACCACCAGGGATCCTGATAAAAGTGCTGAAAGGTATTCCTAAACAGCACCAATAAGCAAGAGAAGTTCCTATAGAGAAGTTGATCCCAGATGGGGAAGTGCATTGAAATAATTAGTATGGCCCTTCGGCCACAATCCTGGCATGTATTATATTTCTGCTCTATGCCTGTGAATATGTTTGGAGGGAGATCTGTTGCTTTGGCAATGGGCAGGATTAGGTGAAAGAATGTCCTACTTTCATAAAGCTAGTCTTAGAAACCCACCATCCTATAGGGTTGCTAGGCTGGAATTGACTAGTTGTCATTGAGGGAATAGAGGATGTGAGCCAGTTACCAACCACCCTGTTTCCTTGGGGCTATGATAAGACAAAAGCCACACCTCCACCAAAGCCATTTCTCTGTGTATGAGCAATCTTGGAGAGGGGTCACAGGCCCAGCAGTGGAACACATTTTAGATCTGTCTGAAGTGGCAGAGATAACAAGCTCCAGAGGCTGTGGCACAGAGCCCACAGGACAGAGCAAAGGGGGCCTGCTCAAGACAAGAGGCCAAGGCCAGAGGACTGTGTGACTGAGGGATGGAAAAACTGCTACTGACAGCAGTTACTGTATCCTCACTGTTTGGAGATCTGACTTGTGGAACGCACTAGACCTGAAGAGATTTCAGTCTCCACTATTCTTAGGAGCAGAAAACTTGGGTCAGATATACGTGTGGGAGTACGTACCTAAATAAAAAACTCCCCACCCCCCCCAAAATCTGTGTATTTAAAATTTATAACATCACCTTCAAAGAACTCTCAATTACACTTAATACACTTGTCAGGTGTGATTCCATTCTCGGAAACATTTTTCAAACTCATCCATTTGGATGGCTGACTGCACCTCCCTCTGCTATGTCATCAAATCGCCGACCTTTCATGTCCCTCTTTATTTGAGGAAACAAGTCTCACAGAACGAGGTCAGGTAATTCTGGTGCATGGGGGCAAGAGGCATGCTGTTTTTATGCCCCAAACTGGCAGGGCACACTGAGATGGCAGTGTGGGGTGTTGTTGCAGTGGCAAAACCAGACACCCATCAGCCACAAATCAGGCCTTTGTCACAGTTATGCAATCTTTTTAGAATTTCTAAATACAGAGCTTGATTAACGATCTGACCTGGTGGAACGAATTCCAAATTGACAGACATCCAGAACGAGGTTTGTCATCAACTGACATTTCAGAAATGAAAAAATCACTTGTACATAGCGCTGTCCTTGTAAGCTGTGCTCAACATCACAATTTTTGCAGCATTCAGGCTGTAATCTGCATAGTTGGCAGTTTGAAACCAACAGCATCTCCTCCACAGGAGAAAGACTGCACTAACTACTCCAAGAAATAATTAGTGTCTTGGAAACCCAAGGGAGCCACTATGTCAGCACTGACTCGATGACAATGGGCTTGGGGTTTTTTGTTCCACATTTTATTGCCACTTTAGCCAAGACCACCTAATGTGGTTATCTCCTTGCTCAGAGCAGTTGGCAGTGGTAGCTGGCCATCTACTTCTGGCTTCACGAAGACTGATGGTGGACCAATACCATGTCTTTCAACTGGAGCCCTAACTGATGAATAGATGCTCATTAGTTTTTCAGACAAAAGGAGTGAAAAACTCTGGTGATTCAAGCAGAGATGAAGGACAGAATGTGGTGCAGAAGACAAAAAAAATCATCTCTGGCATACCGCAAGGACTGGTCTGCCAGTAACAACTGCTTACCGCAACACCACTTATCTCAGAAAGTGTTTCCCTCAGGTAAAAGTGCTGGGAAAATATTCACCCGAACGGTAAACATGTAAAATGTACTAAATCTGTCTTTCCCTTCATATGAGCAAGAATCCCATAATGCTTCTAAAACCTGAAGCTACAATGCTATCACCATCCCCCTCTAGTTTACATCACTTCTGCCATTAGTTCCCTTCTTGTAGGAACAAAATACGTCTCTCCTATCATGCCCCACACTATAGACTTCACTCATGCCCAACACACACCATTGTTTCCCCCATCCCACCCACCATGGACTCAATTCCAAACCAGCTAAAGACACGCAGTCCCTAATAAAAGGCGATCTATACAACCAAACCTTGGAAATAAAGATTTCATAAAAATATATTTTAAATTAGTATGAACAAATCATACTTATAAATTTGTCAACTTCTAAATTTTACATTTGGTGGCACTTTTCCTTTTTTTCCTTGCCTAAATACAATCTTTACTTATGAATTTAGTAGATTGATAGTCCTTACTTTTTGTAATTAGAAATAAAAGGTTTGTCTTGGTCTTTCAATAGACTTCGAAGACAAAGCTTGGGAAGAAACCAAAGCATTCAACTTAAGTGTCAAAATCGAGACATTCAGATGTGGAGATCTCAGAGTTTTTGAACTGGCCACTATCATCCAAGAGTTATAACTCAATTTCAAGATTATTTTGTCTGTTACCAATAATATTATCACTTGGTATGCTTCTGAAATACAGGAAACACAATCTTTCCTGACGTTGACAACATAATGTAACTGGCACTATAAAATCATTCTCAAGATCGACAAATACAACACTAGTATGCAGAGTAATACTTTATTATCTATTGTATTAAACTAAAGCCAAGAAAATATCAAGTTTGAATTTTAAAGGCAAATCTTTACTCCTTAAAGAAAAAATACAAACGGTGGTACTTTTTATAATAGTTCATTTTTTTTTTTACATAATATAAACAAAATCACTAATGCATCTATGTTTGCTTTCCACAAACTACAATGAACAAAAAAAAGGGGAGAAGAAAAGGTTACTGTTGGGTAAAATACATAGCATGCATTTCTTTTAAAACGGTCTACAAGTATGTGCTGACATAACCAAGCTTTAAAAGCCACCACCTCCTCTTCCTTGGCCAAAGTAGCCACCTCCATAACCCCCCCTGGGACCTCCTCGCTGAAATCCTCCAGAGCCTCGGTACCCTCCTCCCCCTGATCCTCTGTATTCACCTCCAGAGCCTCCTCTAAAGCCACCTCCTCTAAAGCCACCACCACCACCATAGCCTCCCCGATAGGAGTTGGAGCCCCCACCATAGCCTCCACCGCCGCCATAGCCTCCACCACCACCATAGCCTCCACCGCCGCCGTAGCCTCCACCGCCACCATATCCTCCACTGCCATAACCACCCCCATAGCCACCGCCACCATAACTGGAACCCCCTCTTCTATATCCACTTCCATTGTCATAGCGAGCCATTTTGGGAGGGCGTGGACCATCTCCATACCTAGAAAAAAAGCACACACACAATAATCACTTAAGCCAATTATTCTGAATACTTCTCCATTACTCATCAAATGTACATTTAGTCATATTTAAGGAATGAACTCACACACACACATATAGAGCATAGACAAAATAAAGCAGCCACTCCTAAGACAAAGGTGGTATCACTGTAACCAACCACGTAAGGTTCTTTCTGGTTTATTAACCAGATATTAACATTTTTCTCTTTTGCTAAGGCAAACCCCGATGGTTTTCATTTGAGGAAAAAGTAATCATCTATCAGCGGTTTGTTACAGTTGGAGAGACTATACAGGTGGAAAGAAGAATGCCTAGGCTTTTTGACCTGTCACGCCACTTCCTCTGGGATATTTTGTGCTTTTAGGGTCCCTATCTAGCTCTAACATGCACTAATGTAATTAACAGATTATTAACCTACTTATGATATTCAACCCACAACCAATCCCCATCCTAATTTGATAACTACCTGTACTAAATTTAATATTGTTTTTGTCTAAAATTTTAACTTAGCAACCAGGCCTCATCAACTCACTGGAGATTCTAGGGCTGAGTAAGCTTACAATGGCCTTGTTTGGTTAATGGGCCACTCACCGTACACTGCCAATCATAAGGGTAATGCCAGCAGCCGAGGGCCTAGAGATCTGACGGATTGTGTTCAGCATTCGCTCATTTACAGGGTCCAACTGGCTGATAATATCAGGCTGCTTAGTGACTTCAACAACCAGAGATTCCATTGCTGCCCGGAGAGCAGTAATGCAGGCAGCAGCTTCATGGGATATTTGCAATTTGATCCTGAAGAATAAAAACAATTGAAAAACACAGTTTATTAAACTCTTTACCAGGTATCAAATACTTTCAACTACTCTAATGACCTCAGACTTACACAAACATTGTATGAAGCATAATAACAACCTGTACTAATCTCTTATAATACACTGCTATGAGGAGCCTTCAAAAATCACTCAGCACAGTATTGATAATAATATAGATCAGCCAGCCTCCAACACAAGAATGAAACAAGAGAAGGAGTGTGCTGGAGTTTTCAAGAATATGGGTGACCCTGACTATTCATTAAACTTTACCCATGTTTGCTAAGTGCTTACTGTATGCTTACATCTAGCCACTGAAATTCTCATTTCATAATGGTAATGTTGATGATCAAACTCCTAATTTGTTTGTTTCTATGGGCATTAGGGAATTTCAAAAACTCTGTGGAAAAAAATAGAGTGAAAAGATTGTGCAAGTGTTGTAAATCCCCCATGTACAATCAATTTAAGATAAGTCAGAGCAATGAAAATTCACTACTCTCTCAGGTCAGAAAGCACTAAAAATTTTATCTGCTTAATCAGATGAATGCTAACATCTATCAATTCTTAAGAATTCAGTTTGAGTTCACATCTGGAAATCCTTACCAGTCATCAATAAGCACAATCTGTCCATCAGATTGAACTTTCTTGGAAGCAAAGAGCAGCAGCTGCAAGGGGGTCACTAACGTCATTCCTTTAGCAGAAATGGCTCGAGTTCGAATCTGCAGATGGCAATAGAGACAACAGGAAAGAGTTCACATTCCAACCACTAATAAACTGCTGTGTAATGACAATAAAGTATGCGTTCAGAGCGAAAACCTCCACTAACTGATAAGGCAAATTTGGTTTAATGTAAACCACCCTTTACTACTTCTTACCTTTTCACCAAATACAAAGAAGGGACATGGGTACTTCATGTCCTGGCTGCCAAAGGGACAGTTCACAGATGACTTGTGGATTAGGGCGTTACGCCCTTCAGTGGTGAGAATCTTCCTCTTTTCCTTATGATAGCACACATTGGGATATACACCAAAGGCCAGGAGAGAGATAACCACATCCAAATTATTGTCTGGTCCAGTGTTGGTAAACACTTGTGTCAATAAGCATTCTGCGAAGAAATATGGGAGAACAATCAGGTAACTGGCTAATCTTATCACATCCAAAATGGCGAAATTCTCTTACAGGCTCAACTATAACATAGACTTGAGTTGATTACATAATATTAACTACCTACTCAGAATGAGAGCTAGACTACGTGAACTATAGTCAAAATACTTCATTTGGAAATTCTTCAGTAGGTATTTTTAGATACTGGAATAACAATCCAAGGGAGCACCATCTACTGGTATGAGGGCAATACTGCCATCAGCACCCACTACATTAGGAGTTATTAATTACTCGTTGGAAAGCATGGGTATATTGCATTCAAAACAAACCCGAATTCTAATTATATAACTACTTAACAATGGAGTTGGACAAATAATTTAAAATTTTTCTATTTCCTGGTTGATAAAATAGGGGTGAAGATTAAAAAAAAAAAGTCCACCATCATTGCCACTGAGGCCAATTCAGAATCATAAATACAGGATAGAGAATTAATTATAGAACTTTCAAGGCTGTAAATCTTTACAGAAGCAGCTGCTACACGTTTCTCCTGCTGAGCAGCTAAAGAATACAAACTGCTGGCCTCTTCGGCAGTAGTAGAATGCTGAACTACTGCATCACCAGGCCCCTTTGTGAAGATTCTAGCACATGAAAAAAACCTGCTCATCCTCTTTCCTTTGATTTTAAGAACTGTTAAAATTCAGGGTGTTTACAAGGTGTCAATAAGAATAATCATCAGAAAATTAAAAACAAGCTATCAAATTGACGTGAAGGAGTGCAGACAAAGTGGAGACCCAAATTTCACTTATTGGACAGTCCCACACAGAAGGGCCACATGGAAAGGATGATATATCCAGTGTTAAGTATAGCATGATGAAACACATAATTATCCTCTGGTTCTTTAATATTTCCTCCCTTTACTATTAGGGTCTTGGTTTTACCTCATTAATCTTGTTAGACTTGCGTTTGATCATTTGTATACTTAAGATTGTTCGATGCATGAAATCCAAGATAGATAAACCCTTCAGAAATGGTAATGGGAGTAATGTTTCCCACAGAGTATGGGAAGCGGGTGTGGAGGAGACTGAGCAATGACGACGGATACAATAGATGGTGTAAGATACAGCAATATAAATAAAAAACGCCGTATATACTCGAGTATAAGCTGAGTTTTCCAGTACATTTTTAATGCTGTTTATAGGTGTTTAGGACAACTTGTACTTGGCACGTTGGACTTTTAAAACGAAATCACCTTTAATTCCACATCAACCTTTGTTTCCTCAACTCAACCAGGACTGTTTTGGGTTCTGTACTATAATTCTTAATGTTTAGAAAACAACTTATAACCTAATTTGAGTAGAAAAGCTCAACTTTACATGGAGAAATGAAGAGTTGGGTCATTCATTGCTTTTGCATTTAATATCAGAAAGTGCTGTCTTAGCCTGTGCCTTCATGAGTTTAAATGAAAGCCATTAAAATTTTAAGACAAACCTATGGGTCTAAGGAGGTGAAGGAAACACTCCTCAAACACTGAGACGGTCTCAACTTCACACTGCGCATTTTCCCGGTTCTCAAAGGCAAGGCAGTGTCCCTTCACGAGATGGAGTAAATAATACCGTGACCAAAACAATCCTCAAAGTACCTCACCGTGTGCTATTACTTAAAACTTTTACTGTCTTCAGCATTGAAACTTTCACTTTATTACCAAGTCTGATTAATTAATGTGAAAAACCGAAATCTCAAGAGTTCAAGAACTAAGAAATAGCTCAGAATATAGAGGGAGCATCAGCTATATAAAGTCTCAAGCTAAAATATCTCACTCAATTTAGATATACCATGTAAACATTAATTCAGATACAACTTAAGAATGTAAAGTCTTACCTTCTGGAAATCCAGAATTAATCAGAATCTCTTTGAGCTGAACTTTTGCTTCCCAAGTCATTCTAAGAGTAGCCATGTTGAGCCTTTTGTGCTCACAAAAACGTATCTCTGCCTCTTCTCCACCCATTCTAAAATGATTAAATGGTACACAGTCATTCTCAAAGGCCAAGTAGGTAGGTAGATTAGAAACTAGAGCTGGCACACCCCAATCTTATCAAGTTCATACCTAGCATCATCCCATGCTTGGAATACTGATAAAAGGGCCACATGATCAGAAAATCGGTTGCCAGCAAAATTCCGATGGATATAGCCCAGTCTCTTTCCCTCACTGATGAAAGGCTCAGGAAAGCAGGTGGCAGCAGAGATGGTACAGACAGCATCTCCCACACTGAAACACAAAGAGGCAAATCGAGGCTAAGCAATCATCTTGTTAGCAACAGGGAAAGTGCTGGCACTAGTGAACAGGTGTCTTTTCAGTCATGATACCAATTCTATTACCGCTGAAAATGGCCGAAGACTTCTACAGATGCTCAATCCAGAAACAAAATGAGCTCTGTTTACCATAAATCATAACAAAGTATGATTTTTATTTCCCTTTCATGTTCTTTCCTCTTCATAACAGGCTCTTAAATACTTTCACATAAAAACTAGCACTTTCTCTAACGTTATTATTCTCTTTCACAGGATAATTAAACTGATCAGCTGGGACTAAATGTAACTTTCTTTTGAGAAATAGGTACCCTTTCCCCCAAATATGGCTGACTCAGAAGGCCGACTAGGGCAATGGCTCATTCCTCTCATGTTGGGACTCTTCTCAGTATCTAGAGGTCACTGCTCTCTACTAAAGAAATCTTTTCTACCTGAGCCCACCTTACTTTTTTAAATGGGAGAAAAGGGAAAGACATTGAAGTTGTTCTACCAATTAGCTATCTATCACCAATAAAACGAAAAGTACTTACTAGAAAATACATCCCATTATCATCATTTTGCCAAAACGAGGCTCAATGGGGAGCTTAGCCAGAATTCGGCCCAAAGGAGTCAATTCATCATTAGCATCTAACGCATCAAGTTCTGTAAGGAGATATTTCTTTTTGAGTATAAAGTTAATATCCATTTAACCAAGACAAATATGAAGTATTTCTTGGTACATTAACAGTTATGATAAAATACTAAAAACAAATCACTGCTATCAAGTCAGCAAACCTATATAATGTTTCTGAAATTGTAATAGACTATAACGGTCTTATCTTTCTCCTGGGTCTGAACACAGCTCTGTACCTCACCCATAGCGCCACCAGAAATCCCAATCCACTGCCATCAAGTTAATTCTGATTCACAGCAACCCTATCGGGCAGAATAAAGCTGCCCCTGTATGTTCTCAAGACAGTCAATCGTTGGCAGCAGAAAGCCTCGTCTTTCTCCTGAGAAGAGGATTTAGAAATGAACGGTTGACTGCAGACCTTGTGGTTAGTCACTCAGCTCATAACCTACTACACCACCAGGACTTCTCAAAGTTTTAAGATACTCCTGGCACCAAATTCTACAAAGGACTCACTAGGTATGGCCTCTTCCTGTGTCCACAATTTCAGGGCTTCAACCCACAAGTTTCTCCTGTTATGGCTGACCTACACTTTAGAGACA